CTCGGCCTCCCAGAGAGCTAGGATTACAGGCTTGAGCCACCGTGCCCGGCCTGGGTTACTTCTTAAGAGAAGGGCTTTGTTTCATTTCATAAAAGCAGGAGCTTGGAGGATCCTTAAGATCCATGTGACCTAAGTTTTTACACTTGGAACCATATATGACAAGGAGAAATGCTATACCCTTATGTTTCCCTTTGTGTAAACTTGATCATAGTATGAGATTTTCAGAAGGGAGAGAAGGAAGAAAAGAGAAAAGAGAGGAGAAAAGGAAGAAGGGGAGGAAGGGAGGGAGGGAGGGAAGAAAAGAAGAGATGACGCTCTGCACATTTTGGCATGCTGTAAGTATAGCACTGTTTGTCAGTGGAACTTCAGTTTTCCCTGCAATTCCACTCTATGCTATACATAACTACTTGCAAGTTATTTCAGGTAAACTACTTTCACTCCCTGGATATTCTCTGTCATCATTAGTTAGTAGCTGTCTCTCTTCCACACCCATTTCACAGATCTGATCTTGGAGATACGAAAAAGACTCCAAACAATTAAGACCACACAGCCAGTCAGAGAGTTTCTCTACCTTCTCAAGGATGGATTTTCTCTTTTCCACGGGGTGGCCAAGCCTCCTACCAAAAAGCCATTCCCTTACAGAACACCCAACTCTCGCTCTCCCTAGTGGAGTGTTGTAGCTCATTGGCTTTCCATTCTGGTTACACATCAAAATTTCCTGGGGAGCTTTAAAAGCAGGGGTCATCAAACAGATCCATAATCTACTTTTATAATAAAGTTTTATTAGAATATAGCAATGCTTATTCCTTTATGAATTGACTATGGCTGCTTTCGTGCTGTAATGGCAGAGTTGAGTAGTTATTACATTAATACAACTAAGACCGTATGGCCAACAAAGTCCTTTACAGAAAAAGATTGCTGAGCCGTGTTTTAAAGTGAGTGCTTGCCTGAACCCCATCCTGAGCCTCTGGGAGTGGGGCCCAGATATTTGTGATTTATAGAATTTCACAACAATTGTGATATGCAAGATTGAGAATATTGGTTATTGGTTAAGAATGCCTGTTCTAAAGTCAGATAGACTTGGGTTATAAGCTCTACTCCACCACTTACCATCCTGGGCAAGTTTCCTAACTTCTCTGAGTCTCAGTCTCCTCTCAATAACATGAGATGATGGTGGCACATTTCTCTAGAGTTATTGTGAGGATTAAATTTGATGATATACTCAGTGAATGCTAAATATTACCAGTAGTGAAAGAGGAAGGCATAGCTTTCTGCTTACCACATGCCACAGCACAGCTGAGGACCGCATCCTTTATGCTGCTCAAATCATCCACATCTCGTCCATACACTTCAGTGAGCTGAAGGGCCCGGGGCCAATCTCTGGCCACCAGGGCTTCCTCAAAAGCCTCGGTCAGCACATCTACGGCATTGGGAGAATGCAGGCCCAGAAGGACAGTAGAAAGACTAGCCTGCCCGCAGAGACTCGCTGCCAGACTCTGCCCCTGCTGGGAGGATCCTCGTAGGGGCTCCCAGGTAGCCAGGAGGGAGGCCTCAAGCATAGGGAATTGTTCCAGAAGGCGCTCACATTCCCGGGCCACCTGCTCTGTAGTGAGAGGCACCTCCCTGCGGCCCCGAAGCTCCTTCCATGACAAGCTGGGCTTGGTGACCTTTAACGCTGGGGAAGCCCCCAGGCAGGCCACCATAGCCAGTAGCTTTGAGCTGGATTTAAGGAAGGCCAAGGTAGAGGAGGTGAGGGCTGGGGGCAATGAATCCATTGGGGAGGAGTGGGACTTTCTTCCCAATGTGGGATTCTCAGTTGGCCTTGGGGCACTCAGTGTAGAAAGTGGGAGGTCACCCAGCCAGTGGGAGGTGTGCAGCTGAGCCAGGATGCCCAGGCGGGTCAGGAGGGAGGATGTCTGCTGGCTTTGCCGGGAAGAGCAAAGAGCAAGGGGCTCACAGCAGCAGTTGACGATGATCTGTGGCACACTTAAGCTGAGACCCTCTTGGGCCAGAAGGGCTGCCAGCCTGGAGGGAGAGAAGCAGAAGTCATACGAGGCCTGCATACATAGGCACCATCACCCAACCTTACAATTTCCTTATGCTCACACAAGCAAATGTAAATGCAGGCTCTTAATTATTCCCCTCTTTTTAAAAAAAATTTTAAACACAAAAAGTAGTCTATTAGACACATAGCTCTGCCCCTTGCTTTTCTACTTAATAACATACATATATGGGAGATCTGTCCATATCCCTGTACAGAGAGGACTCTCATTAGTTTTACAGCTATATAGTATTTCATTATGTGGCTGAGCCATAATTTAACTAGTCTCCTATTAGTGGACAATGGAGTTTTCTGATCTGTTGCTATTACATACCAGGCTGTAATGAGATGATTTTACACACACATCACTTATCGTATGCGTAATAAAGCTGCAAGATAAGTTCCCCAATGTGGACCGCCAAGTCGAAAGGCATATGAATTTGTAATTTTAATAGATATTGACAAATTCCCTTCCCACAGGGGCTGTGCCCATTTACATTTCACCAGCAATCTCTGAGAATGTTTGTTTCCCCACAGCCTAACCAACTATTGTGTTATCAAATTTTTTGGATTTTTGCCTACTCATAAAGTGAAGATTCACCCATTAACCACATACTTCCAATATAAATGTTAGAGGTGTCAAGAGAGAGAAAGAAAGAAATGAGGCATGATGAATTTTAATATAGCTGTATAAGAGTAAATGCAAAGTAAAGGCAAAGTCTGGAAGAAATCCCCACCCTCTATACTGACCGCAAGCACAACTGAGCCTTGGATTTCTTGATGAAATAATCAGAGAGGCCTATGGCCAATTGGCTCCTACCTGTCTGGGGGGACTTGTCTCTCAAGCAGGAGATGTGACACCAGTTGGGAAGAACTCTGTTGCAGTAGAACAAAGGGATTTCCTACCTTGACGTCCACATGATCTGCAAAGGTAAAGAACATGACCTTTGTTTGCACCACTGACTGCAATAGTTCTGAGCCCTGTTTCTCATAATCAATGAAAAAGTAGAGTCAAAATGAAGATAACATTGAGAGCCTTGTTAATTCATTCTAACTAAAGGGTACTATCAACCTGACATTGACCATAAATTTATCCACTACACCTTGTCACTGCTCTAAAGGCTTCCAACCACAGACAAACTTCAGTGGGTAGGTCTAGCACAGACAGCTCGCTCCTGCTCTCTTCAACCTGACTGAAGTGCATGCAGTACTTGCTCTGGGGACTCAAGTAAGAATCTGGTACTCTTATCAGACACTATTCCTCTGCTGAGTCCTCAAATCAAAATGGACCAAGTCTAACAGAGATATTTGTGAGTCACCTAATTCCACGAAAATTTATTGAGTATTCCTGTGTGCTGTACCACTATGCTAGCACAAAGATAAATAAAACAGACAGAGATGAATAAAAGAGCAGGACCTTACAAACCTAGAGTCCTTGGCTATTGCCAAGAACCTCTTAATCAAGTACCTTTCCTCTTCCTTGCCCTGAACGCTTGTAGGCCGGCCATGACTCCATTTCCACTTTCCTGCTACTTACCAGGTTCAGAGCTCAAACTCCGAAGGAGAACTGCAGCTAGAGTGCTGCAGTAACTGAAGAAGGTGCCCATGTAGTCAGTCTGTTTGCTGCCTGCTGGGGTCTGTTTGCCCAGGTTCTTCTGGAGGAGCTCAGTCTGGATGTGCACAGGGTGTGTCTCTGCCTCAGCTTTCTGGGCTGCCTGCTCCACCAGGGAAGAGAGTGGAGGACTCCTGGGCTCTGAGAGGAGTATGAAAGGAGAAGGGACATGGGCTTTAGTCTGTGCATCCAGCTTTGGGTCAATTTTTGACCCGGTATGTGAACTGGGCCTCCTGTACACTGCATGGGGCATCCTACAGCTTGGGGCTGCAATTATAAGGCAGTCATAAAATCCTATCAGTCACCTGGACACGTGGCACTCAGCCAGGAAGAGCTTTGAGTCTGGAGTGTATAAAATCACTCTAGGTATATAGTTTTATTTTCACCCTGGTTGTCTCTGGGGTGCTTTATGAAGAGCACATCAATCTTTTGTGGAAGGGTTGATCAATATTTACTGAGTACCTCCTGGCTATATTTCTCATTAAGAATGAAAAAAGTGGGCAAATGGAGTGTTGACCACCCTCTCAATTAAGAGGTAGGGGTCTTACCAATAAGTCTAAAGTAAAAATAAAATTTAAAAAAAAGACATAAGGGCCGGGCGCGGTGGCTCATGCCTGTAATCCTAGCACTCTGGGAGGCTGAGGTGGGCGGATTGTTTAAGCTCAGGAGTTCGAAACCAGCCTGAGCAAGAGCGAGACCCCATCTCTACTAAAAATAGAAAGAAATTAATCGGACAACTAAAAATATATAGAAAAAATTAGCTGGACATGGTAGCGCATGCCTGTAGTCCCAGCTACTTGGGAGGCTGAGGCAGAAGGATTGCTTGAGCCCAGGAGTTTGAGGTTGCTGTGAGCTAGGATGATGCCATGGCACTCTAGCCCGGGCAACACAGTGAGACTCTGTCTCAAAAAAAAAAAAAAAAAGACATAGGGAAACAGGTGAAGTTATGAGACGTGCCCTGGCTAACTAAAGGGCTGCCTAAGCCTCTGCTCCAAAGTATTCCTTCACTCTCAGCTGTTTCCTTTCCCCAGTTCAGCCCTTAACCTGTTGCCAAGCAGATGCCCATACCTGGTAGCTCTAGTGCCTCTCTCAGTGACTGAAGGGCCTGATCCAGCTGCTGGGAGAGGGTGGTGTGGGTGGCAATACAGTCCTCGGTTAGGCTGGGCCAGCACATCTGAAGCAGCTCCATGATGCTATACCGTGGACAGCCTCCTCCCTTTTCTTCTATACTCTCTATGGAAAGCAAATGAGAAGGAAAAACTGAAGTCTGCTGCTGACCCAATGTTCCAAGTCCAGGAGAAAAAAAATGGGACAAAAGCGAATCACCTGATTTAGTCTGTGCAGCTGACATAAGCGGATAGTTGAGAATCTTACTGATTTGCTGAAGAACAACTGGAAAACCTCGAATGCCATCAGCATTGAGAAATACATGGTCTAACCGTCGACCTGGAAATAGTTGAAGGAAGAGGGAATGCAATAAAAAATTAAGGTATTTTTAGTCCTCTGTTTACTTGTGAAATTTTACCTTCTTTAATATTAAGGAAGAAATATATGCTGTGCCATTTTGGGTGACAACCAGCACATCTGGCTTATTCCATGCTTGAGGTTCTAGGACTACCTCTGGCAAGATGCCTTAGCTGTCAATAGCAGCAGATTCAGAATCTCTGCCTTTCCTGTGAAGTTGCTGTTCCAAGCCACTTGGGCACTTCTTGTGGATTTGCCTTGGTACTGCCCTCAGCTGGGGACTTGAGCTGGGATCATATCTGTCTTTTCTAATTGCTTTAAGTGGTTTCCTTTTTTTTTTTTGGAGAGTGGGGTGGGCCGGAGGAGGGCCCGACCCCGCCTCTTTAAGTGGTTTCTTGACACTCCAACTATACTATAAACAACTTTATGGAGAGGGATTATTCCTGATACCTCTCCTATACCCCCACATACTTGGGACAATCTAGAGACACAGTAGGTACTAAGTTAATTCCTAATTGATTGACATGAAACTGTTTCAGCTATTAACAGCTTGAATAATATCCCCTTGCATTTTAGAATATAAGTATTAATATTAGATGAGGGAGAGACCAATCATTGGACAAAAACAACATTATGTAAGCCACAGTATACTTTCTTAGAAGGACTATCTGAACATTAAAGCACATTTTAACCAATAGCTCAGAAGTGATCTGGAGAGGTGTGTAGAAAAGAGTTAACAGAGCAGGCCTAAGACTGCTATCCTTAGAAGGCTTGCTTGCAAGGTTGCCCTTGGCTGGCATCTGTGGACTTGACTGGCAGAGAGTTTCCGACACTGATATAAAACTTTCCCTAATTAATGAGAGTGGCTCACTGGGCCTACACTGTTTGTATAATGGAACACCTGCTTTCTTTCTGGGAGTCTGGAATTTGTTACATGCCAGACAGAAGGTGTCTTTGTCACCAGTCCCAACAAAAACCTTGGGCCTTGGGTCTCTAATGAGCTTCCCTGTAGACAATACTTTGCAAGTGTTGGCACAACTCACTGGTGGAGGAATAAGTATGTCCTGTGTGACTCTACAGGGAGAAGACTCTTGGAAGCTTGTGCCTGATTTCCTCCAGATTTTATCATGAGCCTTCTCCCTTTGCTGATTTTGCTTTGTATCCTTTTGCTGAAATAAATCTTAGCTGTGAGTGTAACTACATGCTGAGTCCCGTGAGTTCTCCTAGAAAATCACTGAACCTGGGGGTGGTCTTGGGGACCCCAGACACAGGGGCTATCCATATCATAACTTATTCATCACTCTTCCCGCCACACTGCTGAGGTAGAACATGCTCCTTTCTCCCCCACTGCTCAGTCCTTCCAATGTTTGGTGCCTGTGTCAAGGATGGGCAGGGAGTGGAACTTTGCCTAATCGTATCTTCATATACCTCTCTCTTCACATACCTGTTCCTCTAAGAATTCCATACACACATTCTGGGACATTATTAACCCCAAAGTATGATGGTCTCTCCAACTGTGATTCATTAAGTTTTCCCTTACACCTGGTTTACAAATTCAAGACAGTCCTAGGTTTTAGGTTAAGTGAGGTTCACCGGGAGGGGGCATGTAGTCTAAAGGCTCCATTTCCATTGATACCATTTTAGAGTGTATATTTCTTCCTTGAATTTATCTGTAAATCAGAAAATAATTTCTCAAATGACTGCAGATTGCCATGTCTATTAAGAAGGCAAGACTCTCAACAGATTATAAGCCATCAGATTGGACATGAGGACATTTAACTAATAATCCTTTCTCTTTGTCCTCCCTCCTCCAATACTACTTTCTTCTTGCACAACTTATCGAGGTTCTGATAGTCATCTCCTCATGTGAGAATAAGGGATAAAGCTAAAGAAGCACACTCACCCCGGCTTTCAAGGCTACTGTTCAGACGCCGTTCAGCCGTTTCCAAGAGCTGCTTGCAGGTTTTCCAGAGCTGGCACTGAGAGCAAGCTAGGTCAAATGCAGCCATGGCGGGAGGACTGAGGTCTTCCAGAACCTCTCGCAGGGGGTCAGTGGGCTCCACCAGACTAGTGCTTATCCAAAAGTCCTCCTGGAGTATGAGGATGGGGTCTCCAGAGCTGCTGAGCAGCTTGTCAGTCACATCAGAGATGGAGTAAAACACCATTCCTGGCCACCCAGCAGTGGAGGAAAAAGCAAAGGGTTAAAATGATTCCAACTATTAGTTTTATTAGGAAAAGTAATTATCTTAAAAACATTTGAGGTGCATCTGCACAAGATAAATTCTGTGTATATTAGCACTGTCATTAGAGCCCACTCTTGTAGCATCAAAACAATGGCATAAAAAGGAAAACCAAAAGAAACTCAGAATGGTCCAGATGAGGGAGGGCTTCTTCCAAATGGGATCTAAAATTAGGTTGAGAAAGAATGAGGCGGATCTGTGTGCTAATCAGAAAAGATCTCTAAAACATATTGCTAAAAAAGCAAGGTTGATAACAATAGTGTCCTTGAGAGCTGATTTATATTAAAAACAAAAAGGATATGCATATATTCGTGTGAATAAGTGCAGTAAATTTCGGGGAGAATACATAAGGAGCAAAGTGTGATGGTAACATGACATACAGAGCCTAGGCCAGTAAGAGATGTGAAAAGTGGGACAAGATTCTGCCTTCAAGATACGAAAGAATGAGCTTTTTTGCAGTGCAGCCAAGGTCAGGAATTGAGATCTGTGAATCCCAGGTCATAAATGTTAATACATAATTTCTCCACTTTATCGAATAGTAAAATAATATGTTTTATCCCTGAATAATTACATGGGAAGGAAATAAACTCCTAACCATTTCCTCAAGCCAGAGATAGTGGCCATCAGATCACATGGTGGAGAGAGCCTTCATGCTTTTCAGTTTAAGTCACATAGGCCAAGCTTAATGGAGTGGCTCGAGTGGCAGTATGTGAACACCATAGTCAGGGAGGTTGGGCACAGCCAGAAAACTACTCTGAATGTGTCAGAATTGCTGTCTTTCAAGGGAGATGTTCTGCTTTGAATTTTTGCTCACCCTTATGAAGAGCCTAGGATATGGGTGGTTTCTCCCCTCCTACCCTCTCCTCCCAGCCACCTCACCCCCTATGGTGGCAGCAGGGAAGTCTGACCTGCTGCCGCAGCACTGCCAATGGCCTGTAGAGTTGAGCGGCCACTGCCAGTTCTTCGAATGGTGTTGCTAACCCCATCAGGGTTCTGGTTTTCAATCTTGTGCTCTACTTGGGCCAGCTCTTGGATCACTTCCTGATAGCGCTCCATGAACATGAGTTCCCCTGAGCTGGGTGAGGACTTCAAGTTGAACGTGAACACCACCTGTTATGGGAGAGGGAAAAGTGTGAGCCGTGGTAGACCCACTGAGTCGGGAAATGTCTAGAGATAGGAGGTCTTGTCAACCACTAGACTATGGCCCTAAGATGTCTGCTGTGCAGGGTCAGAGAAACACTCAATGTTATTATAGAGGAGTAGATAAAATATAAAAATTCATAAAAGTCAGTAATAAAACCACCAAAGCTCCAGTAGAAAATAGGGAAAAGATGTGGACAATTTCAGAGAAAATATATATAATATACAAATGAGAAACTGTTTTCCCTTACCAGTAATCCAGGAATTTAAGTAAGAATATCATTTTGCATCTATCATAATAAAAACATATAAGAATAATCCTCAGGAATAGTGTAACATTAACGGTCACAACTTTTTTAGAAAGCAATTTGGCAATCTATAAAGTTCTATAAATGGCCAGATATGATGGCTCATGCCTATATCCTAGCACCGTGGGAGGCTGAGGCTTGAGGATCGCTTGAGGTCAAGAGTTACAGACCATCCTGAGCAAGAGTGAGACCCCGTCTCTACAAAAAATAGAAAAATTAGCTGGGCATGGTGGCCTTGCCTGTAGTCCCAGCTACTCGGGAGGCTGAGGCAGGAGGATCGCTTGAGCCTGGGAGTTTGAGGTTGCAGTGAGCTATGATGATGCCACTGCACTCTAGAAAGGGTGACAGAGTGAGACTCTGTCTCAGTCAATCACTCACTCACTCACAAATAAAAGATTATATTTTTTGACCTAGTAATTTTTGTGAGAAACTTTCTTAAGGAAATAATTCAAAAGGCTTAATGCCTAAAGGCATTATTGATTTCAAGTATTACAAAGTTGAAAATAATCTAGATGTTGAGCAACAGGGAAATGGTTTAATGCAACTACTTGAACAGACTATTGTAAGGTCACTAAAATCAAAGTTACAAGGCATGTACTTATATTGTATTATAAAAAAGATACAATATATAGTTCTAGATTCAAAATAATCTCAGCTATATAAAAGTCATGTATATCTTGGAAAAATATCGG